TGGCTCCATGCGTCTAACCGTCTAACTGTCTAATGCGATGCCAAGGAGGAAGTGCCGGCTGTCCTGGACCCGCCCCAGGCCCCACCCCGTGGGCACGCACCCCACACCAGCCGCTGCCCAGAATGTGGCACCCAACAGCCCTCTTTGCCCCTTAGGGAGCAGGAGGCAGAGGGCCCAGATGTGGGTAACCCCTGGCCACTCACTCGTTCCCTCGGTCATCAGTGGAGCTCACTCACCGAGCTCACTGAGTGGGAGCTCGGGGCCAGAATGGCCGGCAACTGGGGACAGGAAGCCCTCCTCACACAGCTGGTGGGGGGCCGGGGGCAGACAGACAGGGCGGGGTGGTGGAATCAGGGCGACGTGAGGCTGTCCCCCAGCCCCTGGGCCAGGAGGGGTGGGGGTAGCCAGGCCCCAGCCGGGCCCATCCCGCACCCACTCCGGATGGACAGGCCCCGAGGGCTGCGGCCACTCCCGCCGCTTGTATGACCTGCACAGGGAGTGTGGGGTCCACGCAGGAAGCCTGAGCTGTGCTCGCCTGGGAGCAGAGGTGCGGCCGGGCGGCCTGAGGTGGCTGCGGCCTTTCAGGAAACAAAAGCAGGAGGCTCAGCAGCCGCTGGCTTGGCCGGCTCTCCTCAGCTTTGTCAGGTGGGTCGGTTCGTCTGCCTGCATTGCCTGCCCAGCGCCTCTGCTCTGCTCCTAGGAGGGAGCACGTGTGTGTGGTGTGTGTGTGTGTTGCACGCGTGCCCACACGGACACACCCGCTTTCCCGAGCCCAGCTTTCTCAGGCAGGAGAGACCGAGAGGTCAGCCACAGCCTCCACTCACCCTCCCCGAGCCCCTTCCCTCGGAAGCCAGTGCCTGGGAGTTTGTCCTGTGGTTGCTTTTCCCAAAGCCAAGTCCAGAGATAGACCGTGGCCTTCTCAAGGGCACATGGGGCGGCCTGGCCCCGAGCCAGCTCTGTGCCTGCCCAGCTGCCGGCGGAGCTGCAGGGGACGCGCTGGTCCGGGGCTGCCCAGCTGGGAGCCCCTCCACCCTCCGCTGCGCTCACCTGGGAGCTGCTCTCGGTGACCGCAGGGGAGCCTGGGGAGTGACAGTGGGAGTTCCTTGAAAAGGGCACCAAGCTAAGGAGCTGAAGGGACCGGCACCCGCAGCGCAGTGCGCAGCGGCCCAGGCAGGGGCGGGGGCTGGGGGCAGGCACCCGGTCAGGGCCGCAGCCCCACGGCCGGAGCGGCCCGAGCGGCCAGAGCGGCGCTGCCACGTCCAGGTGGAACCGCCACCCCGCAGCCTGTGCCAGGGCCTGGCAGGGTGGCATCTCCCCGCCTCTTATGTCGCCTCCCGACCCCGTGAGTCTGCCAGGCTGAAGCGGCACCACGTCCCGGTTCTAAGGGATCTCTTCCCGGCCCTCTGTCACTCCTCCGCCAACAACGAAGGGCCCCTGTCTGGGAGGCTCCGTCAGGAAGGAGGAGGCTGAGCGCGGCTCTCCCAGCCCGGTGGCCCAGCCCTGCCTTCCCAAGGCCCCTGAGGCGAGGCGGGGCTGCCAGGGCCCTGCATCGAGGCCCAGGCCAGGGGCTCCCCACGACGGCAGGACAGGCTGGTGGCCGTGGCCTTTGCCTCGTCCCCTGTCCAGGCAAGGACTGGGTCTGGCTGAATCGCACGCGGCTCCGCTGCCTGGGCCTAAGGTCGACAGGGAGACGGTCCATCTCTCCAGCAGCTGCCACCCAGGGCCCAGAAGTGAGGAGGGGCAGGACACGGCTGAGGGGAGACTCAGCACCCCCTACCCCGGGCCCCCCTTCAGCACAGCCCCCCTCTACCTCCACCGTCTGCCCTGGAGCCCACTCCGTGGCAGTGGTAGGACCAGGGGAGATGCCCCAGTGTGTCTGGGGGCTCCTCGCTCAGCTGGGGGTTGAGATTGCTCGCAGGGTCTCCCCAAGTCCCGAAGTTTAGAAAAACCTGCGGAAAAGATGTCAACGCCTGTGGGGTCAGAGGTCATCTATTCCAGTCCACGCCCCTGGTTCTCCCAAGGGGAACCCAGTACCTGGGGAAAGGCCCCCCCGCCCAGGCCACCAGCCGGGGTGCCAGTCAGGCCCAGACAAGGAACCTCCTGCCCCCTCCCCAGGCTCCTCTCTGCCCTCCCCACCCCACACGTGTGAGTGCCCCTTTCATGAAAGGGTGCAGAGGGGGTGAGACTGGGCAATAGACAGGGGTGTGGGCTGATGGGCTCACAGTGCCCACTCCGGCCTGCCCTGGGTCTGTACCTGCTCCTCCATCGGTGCAGTGAGGAGAGGCCAGGGCCCAGGCCCCGCGTCCAAGGCAGCCCAGGCCTCGGGGTCCAGAAAACACTCCCTGGAGGTGAGAGAGAGCAGTGGGAGGAGCTGCTGGGGCGGGGCTGCCTGCCCGTCCCCTATGGAGCAGGTCCAGCTGAGCTCTCCTGGACCTCCCAGTCCCTACTCCTCCCAGGCCACCACTCCCCTCAGGCCCCGCCCTCGGGCCTGCCCACCTACCAGGCCAGTGACCATCCACTAAGTTCGCCTGGGAGGTTTCCAAACCTCCCAGGCCCCATCCATTGAGCCAGACTCTGCAGCTGCGTCAAGAAGCCTGGTTCCAGCCCCAACCCCTCCCCCTGCTCCACACAACGCCCCAGCCTGATGTGTGCGCCCCCAGGTCCTGCCCATGATGCCCGGGAACTCAGACTGCGGGTTGGAGGCTGCGGGTCCCCAGCCCTGAGGAAGGTGCAGACCTCTGTGCTCCCCACTTCCCAGAACAAGCGAGGGCTCAGGACCTCGCGGAGGACCACCCCACAGGAGGGCGCGGTGCCCCTGAGGGGTGCAAGAGAAGGAGGCGAGCTCAGGGCTCTTTCGGGAACCTGGCCTCCTGGCAGACCATTCTGGGGGCCCCTCGTCGCCGCAAAGGGCCTCCCCAGCCCTAAGCAAGACTGTGGAAAACCCAGGTTTGAAGAGTTCCAGTAGGACACGCGCTCCCTCTGGTGGTCATGATGGGAACTGCAGGCCCTCAGCCCGGCTGTTTCTGTCGCTGCTGTGATGAAGAGAAATGCATCCAATCGCCTCTCAGGCTGGGCTGCTCCGTGATTCCATTTGCACGGGTTGTGGAAGGTCCCCAGGGAAACGAGAGCCTAGTAGCTCCCGCCCAGGAGACTTCATGGGAAGGAAGGGGGAGGGATGGGACGGGCCCGGCCGGGAGCGGGTCCAGGTCAGCAGGATGCCGCTGGGTCTCCAGAGCCACCTGCAGCTTGTGGGTGCCAGCCTGAGGGAGCCGGGACAGGTGGACAGTCCGCAGGCCTGGAGGGTGCTGGGTGCCTGGTGGTTTGAACAGCACCCAGGTCCTCTGGCAGGCGCTCTGGTCCCCATGAGGCCTCGGGTTCCCTGGGATGGAGGGTTTGCAGCAGCGGCTGAGAGGGGCTGAGAGGGGCCGTCTCCCTCCAGCCGGCAGATGCGGGGCCTGTGTGCAAACACTCCCCTCCCCCCGCTGCTGTGCTCCCCCAGCGGCCACGGGCCTCTTCCTGTGGGTGCTGCTGCTCCACCAAGAAGCTGTGGGGGGCCCCCCCCCGAAGCCTGCAGGGGACCCGCCCCCTTCCTGTCCCCGTCCCCACTGCCGTGAGCAGCCCACTGTGTGCCCCCCTTGGTGGATGGAGAAAGAATACTGAGCTCTGTGCAGGGCTTGGCCCGTCACATTTTCCTTGTCACAGTGAGCCCCACGCAGGGCACATTCTGAAGGACGAGGCTCTCTGCTCTCTGCAGGACGGTCTGTGTTCAGGCCTGAGGTTCTGTGTGGGCTGTGGTCCCGGGACCTGTGGCAGCGGGTCCATTCTCACGCGGAGTGGTGGCTCACCCTGCCTCTGCGCCCCAAACCACCCCGGTCATTTTATTTTATTTTTAATATATTTTTATTGATCTCAGAGAGGAGGGGAGAGGGAGACAGAGATAGAAACATCAGTGATGATAGAGAGTCATTGATCACAGCCTCCTGCACGCCCCACACTAGGGATCGAGCCTGCAACCTGGGCATGTGCCCTGACCAGGAATTGAACCGGACCTCCTGGTTCATAGGTCAACGCTCAACCACTGAGCCACACCGGCCGGGGCCACCCTGCTCACTTTAAACTCCGCACACTTGATGCTGACATGGATTCCCAGCCTGTCCTCCCTCCCCTGCCTCAGAGGCCTGCAGACCCAAAGGAGGAAAACGGACATGGTTTCAGGTGCCAGGACCCCCATCCCTCCAGCCCCCTGAAGGCCTCCGTGGGGAAGGCAGGGAGAGGGCAGACGCAGCCCACGGGGAGCCTGTGGCACTGCAGGGCCCACAGGCCTTAGGAAGTGGGTGTGGTGGGAGGGCCGGCCTGACACCACCTTGGGCCGAAGTTGTCTTGGCCGGGGCCGCTGGGATGGGCAGGGGCTGCAGGAAGTGGTAACGAGGCCCCCTCACTGCTCACTCCCCAGCCCCTCGTCCTGGAATCAACCAAACCAGCACCCAAATACACGGGAGAGGTGGGGGGGGGGGCGGGGGGGCGGCGGAGGCCTCAATGAGTCCCTGCACCCAGAGCAGAAAAAGCGTGGCCTGGGCTCAGCACCAGGGTCAGGAGGCCGGCGGGGCAGAGCACGTGCTGGGCCGCAGAACACCAGCCTGGCATGTGGGTGCAGTGGGGAGATGGCGCATAGTGTGGCCACCGCCGGCTGCACGTTGGGCAGCCCAGGCCGGTCCACAGCAGCCTGCAGCGGGTGGCGCCAAGTGGCACCCAGGGCCTGGCCAGCTACCCCACAGCTCTGAGCCCGTGGCTTTGGACTCCGGGTTCCTCTCGGCCCGGCATTTGGAAGACGGGCTGAGTCCTCGTCCGGCGCGAGGTGATCAGGGCAAGGCGCGGCCCGCTGGCTCTACGGGCACCGGCGCCGGAGCCATGAACGGAAAGCCGGAGCCCGGGCTGCATGGCACCCCAACCTGGAGGAGTGAGTCGGGGCGGCCAAGGGAGAGGCGGGGAGCGAGGCAGCGGAAGAAGCCACGTCTGTCAGCTTTATTATTAGGAAGAAGCAGCACTGGGGGGGGGGGGGCGTCCAGGGTTCCACGAAGCCCGGTGCTCCCTTCAGCCCGAGGGCCTGGCCGCGCGAGGGACAGAGGCCTGCGGTGGCCGCGGCCTGGCCGATTCTGGAAGACAAAGGCCGGGTGTGGGCCGTGACGGGCCAGGACCGGATTTTCCTGTTTCCTTATTTCTCTGACCTTCCTCCAGGGCACCTCTGCACCCCCAGCCTCCCCCCCCCCCCCCCCGCCCCTTGGCCGCACACTCCGTGCCAGGCAGTTGGCCATCATTTGAAACGCATGATGGGTGACAGGCTGCCTGGTGGATGAATGGACGCCCGACAACTCTCCCCGCCCAGCCCCAAACTCCCTCTCTTTCTCCATCGCCTCCCAGCCGCGCCCTCCCAGCCCTTCCTGTGCACCTGCCATCACAGCTCCTCGTCTGCGCCCGGCCTGGGGTGGGGAGGAGAGGAGGCGGGTGAGAGCCAGTAGGGAAGATGGGAACCCTGAGGGTGGGGACCCTTCCCCACAGGCCTCAGAGACCAACTTCCTGCGGCCCCTCCTCGTCCGCCCGCCTCAGCCGCCCCGCGAGCACTCACCGATGCTTCTTTCTGCCCCCGCAGCGGAGTCTTTTGCCTTGAAGAGAAAAGAGGTGGGTTTTCATGGGCCCCTCGCTTCTAAGGAGGCCTCCTTCCCCGAGACTCAGCTCTGGCCCTTCCCTCCTCCCTGCCGGCCGCACGGAGGGCCAGGCCCAGCCCAGGGCAGCCTGTCGGTCAGCGAGCACCGACTCAGTGGGTCCAAGGTGGACCCGGGGCCCTGGCCCTGCCCTCAGCTCCGTGCTGGGCACAGAGTCGCTGCTCAGTGGCCTTGGAGACCGACGACGGCGGCGATGACGGCGAGGCGAGTCCACGGTGCCGCCTCAGCGCTGTGAGCTCAGCACCGCCCAGTGCGCCTCCAGGGGCCGGAGCCGGGCACCGCGTCTGCAGACAGAGCCCCGAGGTGGAGAGCGCTGCTGGGTCCCGGACACCGTCCGTGTCTTCTGTCCACTCATCGCATTCCCGTGTGTTTTTCTTCTGGTTGCATCAAAACAAGTCAACATCCTCTTGTCCCTGTCCCTGCCGCCCCTGGAGCCGTGTGCCCACGTCGGGCCCTCTGCGTGCTGTCTGGGCTGCACGTCTGGGTGCCAGCTTCCACCTTAGGAGCGAGTGGGATCACCCCTCCTCCACAGCGGCCAGGGAGCTGGGGTTCCAAGTGAACGGCAGCGGGGCCTCTGACCTCGGGTCCCAGCCTCCCACACTTCCCAGCAGCAGGTGGGAGTGGGTGCAGGGTAGGCACCCCCAGGTGCAGCTGAACCAGCTCTGCTCTGAGCAGCGGGGAGCCATGGACAAGTCGCTGACCTTGCAGGGTGAGCCTCATTTCTCATCTGGAGAGTGGGGGCAGGCGTGGAGTGATGCCGAGAAGACTAAATGGGCTGGAGGCAGCTCAGGCCAAGAACATGCAGGATCGGAGGGTGTGGGTGTCTGGTGGAGGCTAGTAGAGAGCACTGCCCTGCCCCTCTCCGCTTACGGGGGACCTTCCCATCGTCAGAGGGAGCCAGTCCCCATCCTGGCAGCTCCTGGGTCCCCTAGAGGGTGCACTTTATTTTATTTTTTCTTTTTCTATATATTTTTATTTCAGAGAGGAAGGGAGAGGGGGAGAGAGAAACATCAATGATGAGAGAGAACCATGGATCGGCTGCCTCCTGCGCGCCCCACACTGGGGATGGAGCTAGCGACCTGGGCATGTGCCCTGACCGGGAATCGAACCGTGACCTCCGGGTTCATAGGACGATGCTCGACCACTGAGCCACGCCAGCTGGGTTAGGGTGCACTTTGGAAAGATGGAACCTCCTGCGTGGTCCACGGACCAAGCAGGGAGACACCCCAAGATGCCTCCCTCCATCAGGGCGTTGCTGGGTCCCCACATCCAGCCCGGGGCGTGAGGAGAGAGGAAGGGAGCGGAGAGGGAGGGAAGGGCGGGAAGGGCGGGAAGGGGACTCACCCTCCCAGGGCCTGCACGGGGGAGAGGGCCATGGGAGGCAGGGGCTCAGGAAGGACGGGCCCCCGCACCCCTCCACGAGGCAGCCCCACTTACTGAGGATGATGATGAGCCCCACCACGAAGGCCAGGCCGGCAAAGATCAGGCCCCCTTTGCGCACGGCCTCATAGTCTGGAGCGGAGAGGCAGGGTGGGTGGGTTAAGGCACCCCTCCAGCAGCCCAGGCTGGCAGCAGCGCCCCCTGGTGCCTGGGGAAGGTGGGGTCAGAGCCCGGGGGTGGGGGGCTGGGGGCCCAGTGGGGGAGCAGGAGGCAGGGGCGCCAGGCTTACCGTAGTGGAACGGGTCCACGTCCCCCCCGGGGCTGCCACCTGGGGAGACAGGGGAGGGCAGGTCACGACGTGGGGTGTCCCAGCCACGGACACATGGAGCTCTGTCCCTGTCCCCGCACCCCCAGAACCCAGTGGGCAAGTGTGGGCTGGTGAGGGGAGTCCCTGGGAGAGGAGGCTGGCGGTGCGGGAACCCCTCTGCCTGGGGGCGGGGCCTCTGCCCAGGGCTGCCCGGGCGGGCGGCCAGCCTGGCGCGGGGAGGGCGCTCCCCTCCTTGTGCACAGAAGGCAGGAAGAGGCTGTGAACACGCCTCCCATTGACTCCCTGTGGCCCCCAGTGAGACTCATCCCAGCATCTGCTAGGCAGACGGACGGACGGACGGACGGACAGAGGAGGAGGGAGCTGAAGCCCAGCTGTGAGACTCGTCTAAAATCCAGGAAGGTCGGAGGCAGAACTGGTCCCGACCAGGTTTCTAGATGCTTCTCTCGGAGCTGCTCTCCGCCGGGGAAGCAGGCTGGTTGAAGAGACATTGCTATAGGGCGCCCTCCGTGCTCCAGGCCCACCGTCCTCAGGAGCCTGAGGGCCCTGATGGTACAGCAGCCTCGGGGAGGGGGTGTCCCACCCCTTCCGCCACCAGAAAGAGGTTGTGAGAACGGAGGACTTTGCCCTCTTGCTGTGCCGCCTCTCAGATAGTCGGAAGGAAGGAGAGCTGGAGGCCACGCAGCCGGGCAGCCCCCCTCCTGCTGCCTCGCCCTGGCATTCGCCCTGGCACCCGCCCTGGCACAGAAGTGCCCGTGGCCAGCAGCAGCCCCGCCCCTGGCCCTGGCCTGGGCGCACTCGTCCTGGGGACCTGGAGGGCAGCCAGAGCTCCCCCCCGCAGAGCCCCTCTCCTGCCTCTTCGAGCCCCGCCTGGCACGCGGGAAGCAGTGCCCAAGGTGGAAGGAGTGAGCACGTTGGCACCTCCCGGCTGTGCTGAGTTGGGCCCTGGAGGCCTCAGGGCTGGCGACCCAGCTGTCCCGACATAAGCTCCCTGGGGAGCGAGCAGCTGGGAGGGTGGCCGGCCCGCCCGCCAGAGGCCCAGGGAGGCGACGGGCCCAGGGAGGCCTGGAGGTTGTCTGAGTTCAGGTCTCAACAAGGTCACAAGGGAGTTAGTGTCAGAGGCCTGATACACTGGGCCCATCACCACACAGGGGCCCGCCTCCTCCCACAGTCAGCAAAGGCCCCTCCATGACGGGAGCCCTCTGGGCTGGGCCCTTTCCTGGGGCCTCGCCAAAGCCCAGAGAGGCTGCTGCCCCCCACCACCCCCACCCCGCCTGCCGCCTGCCCCTGCTCTGTCTGAGCCCAGGCAGCCAGGGAACAACCAACCAGGACAGGCGCCCGTGCCCAGGCCACGCTGGCGCCCCCAGGGCCCGAGGATCTGCATTGAAGCTGCAGTGAAGACAGGACCCTTTGACAAGCAAATTTCCTTCGCAGGAGGCCGGCCCGGGGGAGGGTGGCTCTGTGCTGGGGCGGCCGAGGTCAGGGAGGACGCGTGGGATCCGGCTCCCCCTCCAGCCGGTCCCAGCGAAGCCGCCTGCTGTCCCCACGCATCTGGTCCGCACACTCACCCTCGGCCGTGGGCACCCCTGCCATCGCCCGTAGACTGGACTGGATCCCGCTGCCTCCGCCTGCCGCCTCTGCCCGGAGAATGCCCCGGGCCGCGGGGTGGCCGGGATGAGGTGGGGGCATTAAACATTAACAGTGCCAGCTAATGTTTACCCCGGACCCAGAGAGCCTGGTGTGGACGGGGTCTCCGCTGGGGCGTGAGGAGGTGCCCGGCAGGCGGGGCAGGAGCTGGCTGGGGTTCCAGACCCTCCCCCAGGAAATTTCCAGAGCGCAGGGCAGGAGGGTGGGCCGGGCCTGCTGGGGGGAATGTCGAACTGCTCCCCGTGTGCTGTCCCCAGGGGCCCTGCCATCTCAGCTGCCCCTGAACCTAGCAGCGTGAGGTTCCTGTCTCAGCGGAGTTTCACCAGGTACCCGGCGGTGCCCTCCCACCTCCCGGCCCCCAGGCGCCCTCCAGGCAGGGCACACCCTCAGGCCTCGCTGCCTTCCTCTCTCATCTCCCACCCCCAGCGGCACCCAGCACTCACACCTCCTCAGAGAGCTCAGCCGTCCCTGCCTAGCCTCCCCCTGCCGCTGCACTTCCTTCTCCAGCCACTAGGGGCGGTTGGCATCCAGGTTCCAAGGTTGCAAGGGAGGACCCACGAGAGGGGGCTGAGCTCCCACAGGGAGAAGGCCCTGCTTTTAGGATTTACAGCGCAGGCTCCTGACTGGTACTGTCTGATCTCCCCATTTCCCAGGTGAGTCGTCCGTGGCCCAGAGAAGTCAGGCTCTGTCCCAAGGTCACACAGCGGTGAGGGGGAGGGGAGAGGACAGCCAGGCAATGGGCTGTAGGCCAGGTGCTTTCCCAGGCCTCTGATACCCCCTCCCCCTCCGCTGTGGCCTCCTTACGCCGGGGGCCCTGGCGCCGGGCACCCTGTAGGTGCCTAGCTTCCTGGCTGGGTGAGTTCTCGTCCATTGAATTGACCTCCACAAAAAAGCTGATGCTCAATAGCACCCGAGGCCGGGGGCCGTGTGCAGGGCTGGCTCATGGCAGAGGGACCCCCGTGGGCAGCGGTGGGGTTGAGGGTGGAGTTCACGTCCTCCGCCATGTGACTGAGCTCCCTGTGCCTCAGGCCCCTGCTGCGAGGTGGGGTGCTCCCCGCACAGGGCACAGGGCTGGGGCGGTGAGTGTCGCCACGGTCACTGGCTGCGTTGACGGAGAAGTCATTGCACCTGTAACTTTGTGCTGAACCTCAGCTGTTGGACACAGAAACCACCCTCCAATGAGAAGGAGCTGGGACGAGGGGTGCCACCGCCCTGCTGCCAGGAGCCAGGCCCCGCTCAGCTGCCCTCAGGGTTTGGGGCTGTGGGCTGGCCCGTCACACTCACATGCACCCCTCCCCCCCCCCCCCCCGCCGGAGGCCAGGTGTGCCCCTTCCACAGTAAACAGCAGGCTGAATCTGTGCGCCCCAAAGGTCTCTGGAGGTGCCCGGATGGCCGGGATGCCACTGGGCGTGCCGGGACGACTGCGCAGGAGGCCGAGGGGCTTGTCTGAAAACCCCATCAGTGGCCACACCAGGGGCACCCAGGCTCCGAGGCTGCGCCCGCAGCGCCTGCACTGTCCCCCAGGGCACCCGTCCTCCGTGCACGCTCTCTCGGCATCTTGGCATCTAAGTTGTAAGCCATCCTGAGTCTTTCTGGAATAATAGGGGATACAAGCATAGGTGGAAAGATGGATAAATGGATGGATGGATAGATAGATAGATAGATAGATAGATAGATAGATAGATAGATAGGTGATAAGTGATAGATAGATGATAGACAGATAGACAGACAGGCAGGTGATCATAGACGAGAGAGGAATGGGAGAGCACGCTGACATTGCATTTTTGAACTCTGTGCGCAAGGCCCTGTGCTAAGCTTTACGAAACCTTCATCGTGTAACCCTCACGGTGCTGCGAGTGAGGAAGGTGCTCGCCCAGGGTACGATGAAGAAATGGAAGCACAGCGAGTTTAAATAACTTCCCAGCAGGCAGCTGGGAAGTGGAAAAACCAAAATCTGAACCCAGCAGCCTGGCCTCCGAGTTCCTGCAGACAGACAGACGGATGGATGGACAGACACACAGAAAAGGAGGCTTTGGGCGGTCGTCCTGTCAGTGCTTCAGCTCAGAGCGTGGGCGGCAGTGAGCCCAGGCCTTGGCACGGCACCGAGAGGGCCTCCCTGCTCCTGCCTCTGCCCCTCGGGGCCGGGGGTGCGCCGGGAGGTAAGGAGGTGCACACCTGGGTCAGGGTCTGAGAGGGGGAGGGACGGGGCTTAGGGGACTCACCCAGGTACCACCTGCCCATGGCGGAGCTGCTGTGTCCCTGTGGAAGGGCCGGGAGTGCCTGTGGCTGAGGGCCTGGGCGTCCCTCCCTCCACACGTCAGCCACCCCGCGGGGAGGAAGAGATGAGCCAGGGAGGAGGGGCTGGCAGGCAGCCTCACCTGTGCCAGCCTCAGGGGTGGGGGCGGGGCGGCGCAGGTGACCCAGGAGCCACGTGAGGGGGCAAGGAGGGGGGAAGCTGGGAGCCACTGCAAGGCACACGGCAGCCCACACGGCCCTCTGCCCAGGGCACAGGGCCGCATCCAGACCCTCCAGGCTGCCAGGTGCCCGCCAAGGTCACAGGGACCCAGGAGGGTGCCGGCTGAGGCCGGGGCTGCTGGTGGCCAAGGGGGGCACTCGGGGCATTTGGGGGGCCCTGAGCCTTACCTCTTTCCTCCAGCCCGGTCAGCCTTCACCCTGACAGCCCTGTCCCAAGGCCCCATTTGTAGCCAGGAGTCCCCGATATGGGACAGCAGCCTGGGGGCCGCCCAGGAGGCAATGGGTGCTCTTGGGGAGCCCCAGCAGCCGCTGAGGTCATTCTCCCAGAAGGGCAGAGAGGAGGGGCTGCTGGGCTGTTGTCCCGCAGGTCCTGCCCCCTCAGGGGCCCCCCACCGGGTCCTCAGGGACCTCAGCAGGTGTGATGTCAGGCCTGCACCCCAAAGCCGACTGGAGACACCAGCAGCCCTGTGAGGCCTCCAGGACTGCGGCTGGTGGGGAGCATGGCTGGCAGGCGGGTTCCAGACGCAGGGCAGGTGTGGAGGCAGGGCCAGGGCCCCTGACGTGACCAGGCCACATTCCCAGGAGGAACTCTGAGTACCCAGGAGCCCAAAGCTGCCGAGGGGAATTCCCCACGCTGGGCACTTCGAGGGGCTCCTGACCCTTGGGGTTAGGTGGCACTTCAGAGGTTACCTGTGCAACACATCCATGTCCGGAGAAGTGGGCATTCAGCCAGCCCCCCTGCCCGCCCCCCCCATGCTTCCTGCAGACCCCCACCAGAAGGAAGCAGCCCCGTCTTACAGGGAGACCTTGGGCCATAGGCCGACCACCTGGGAGGAGCTGCAAGGCCCTCGCCCCTCACTGTAGCAGAAAGGGTTCTCCACTCAGACCCTCCTAGGGCTGAGGTTAGGCCAAAGCCCCTTCCTGTGTCTCACAAAACCTCCCTGTGGTCCTGTGGCCTCTCCGACCGCACCTGCTCCCTGGCCCTCTGTGCGCCCCGGCCAGGCTGTTCTCCTAGGGCCCCCTGTGCGCCCCGGCCAGGCTGTTCTCCTAGGGCCCCCTGTGCGCCCCGGCCAGGCTGTTCTCCTAGGGCCCTCTGTGTGCCCCGGCCAGGCTGCTCCCCGGGGGCCCTCTGTGCGCCCCGGCCAGGCTGCCCTCCTGGGCCCTCTGTGTGCCTGGCCAGGCTGCCCTCCTGGGCCCTCTGCCCTGGCCAGGCTGCTCCCTGGGGGCCCTCTGTGAGCCAGGCCAGGCTGCTCTCCTAGGGCCCTCTGTGTGCCCCGGCCAAGCTGCTCTCCTGGGCCCACTGTGTGCCCCGGCCAGGCTGCTCTCCTGGGCCCTCTGTGCGCCCCGGCCAGGCTGCTCTCCTGGGCCCTCTGTGCACCCCAGCCAGGCTGCCCTCCTGGGCCCTCTGTGCGCCCCGGCCAGGCTGCTCTCCTGGGCCCTCTGTGAGCCCGGCCAGGCTGCCCTCCTGGGCCCTCTGCCCCGGCCAGGCTGCTCTCTGAGGTCCTCTGTCCTGGCCAGGCTGCTCTCCTGGGCCCTCTGTGCGCCCCGGCCAGGCTGCTCCCCGGGGGCCCTCTGTGCGCCCCGGCCAGGCTGCTCTCCTGGGCCCTCTGTGCGCCCCGGCCAGGCTGCCCTCCTGGGCCCTCTGTGCGCCCCGGCCAGGCTGCTCCCCTGGGGCCCTCTGTGCACCCGGCCAGGCTGCTCCCCTGGGCCCTCTGTCTGCCCGGCCAGGCTGCTCTCCTGGGCCCTCTGTGCGCCCCGGCCAGGCTGCTCTCCTGGGCCCTCTGTGCGCCCCGGCCAGGCTGCTCTCCTGGGCCCTCTGTGCGCCCCGGCCAGGCTGCTCTCCTGGGCCCTCTGTGCGCCCCGGCCAGGCTGCCCTCCTGGGGCCCTCTGTGCACCCGGCCAGGCTGCTCCCCTGGGGCCCTCTGTGCACCCGGCCAGGCTGCTCCCCTGGGCCCTCTGTCTGCCCGGCCAGGCTGCTCTCCTGGGCCCTCTGTGCGCCCCGGCCAGGCTGCCCTCCTGGGGCCCTCTGTGCACCCGGCCAGGCTGCTCCCCTGGGCCCTCTGTCTGCCCGGCCAGGCTGCTCTCCTGGGCCCTCTGTGCGCCTGGCCAGGCTGCTCTCCTGGGCCCTCTGCCCCGGCCAGGCTGCTCTCTGAGGTCCTCTGTCCTGGCCAGGCTGCTCTCCTGGGCCCTCTGTGCGCCCCGGCCAGGCTGCTCTCCTGGGCCCTCTGTGTGCCTGGCCAGGCTGCTCTCCTGGGCCCTCTGTGCGCCCCGGCCAGGCTGCTCTCCTGGGCCCTCTGCCCTGGCCAGGCTGCTCCCCGGGGGCCCTCTGTGAGCCAGGCCAGGCTGCTCTCCTGGGCCCTCTGTGCACCCCGGCCAGGCTGCCTTCCTGGGCCCTCTGCCCCGGGCCAGGCTGCTCTCCTGGGCCCTCTGCCCCGGCTGCTGTGCTCAGGGCCTTTGCACTGGCCGCCCCACCCTGGGAACGCCCTCCGCTGAGCTCCGGACCAACTCTGCTTCTTTCACAGGCCCCACAGGCCCCGCTGGCCCCGGCTGCGGCTCTTACCTCTCTGCAAGGCTCAGACCTTGTAGGTGTCTTTTCCTCAGTCACACTGACTGTATCTGATCAGGTATCTGTTTTTCTTCTGTTTCCGTCTCTTTTGATTGAAATGTGAGCTCCCAGAGCCCAGGGATTGTTTCCTGTGTTCATTCCTCGACTCCCGCCCAGAACGGGACAGGCACGCAGTGGACTCTAGATTTGTGAAAGGAATGGCTAAGTTCCAGAGGTAGAGTGACTTTCCCGGGGGCCCAGGTGCACCCTGACTTGCAGCCTCTTTGCAGGAACTGCCGGCCCTGTAACAGAAAGCGCAGTCTGATGGCTCCTGCAGAGCGCTCCCCGGCCCTTCTGGGGGGTCCGCCATCCCTGCCCTCTTCTCGGGGCCCCTCGGCCCTTCTGGGCCCTCTGGGCGCCCAGCCAGACTGCTCTCCTGGGCCCTCTACCCCGGCCAGGCTGCTCTCTGAGGTCCTCTGTCCTGGCCAGGCTGCTCTCCTGGGCCCTCTATGAGCCCGGCCAGGCTGCCCTCCTGGGCCCTCTGCCCCGGGCCAGGCTGCTCCCCCGGCCCTTCTGGGGGGTTCTCTGCCCTGCCCTCCTCACCGGCCCCTCGGGGCTCCCCCAGGCCCTGCGTGGTTTCCATAAAAGAACTCGCTTGTCCTTTCTAGGGAGGCCGGCCAGGTCCAGGAGGTCCCACCTGCTCACCTCGCTCACTCCCAGCCTTCCCCGGGCTCTGTCTGGTCCCCCCACCCCGCGGACTGAGGCACTTGTGTCCTGGCTGACATTGGGGGCAGGAAGCCCTCTCTCGGAGGGAGCCCTTTAACCCGAGGCCCACGATCCCCCGAGAGCAGCGGGGGGGGGGGGGGGGGGGTGAAGCATCCTCCTGGTCTCCATATGCCGAGGCCAGGCACCCTGTGGATGCCTGCACCCGCCTCTTCCCCATGGCTGTGGCCTGGTCTCCTCCTGTCTACAGAGTAAGGCCGCGGCACCTACCTTGCAGATCCGCTGTCGGATTGAGAGGACGTCGACGCGCGGCCAGAAGGTCCCGGTGAGCCAACACCATCGTCCTCCCCTGAGCTGCTTCTGGGAGCAAGGACACTGGCCACAGCCCCTGCCCTGGAGGGTCCACCCTGCCCATGGCCATTCCAGCAAGACCCCCGGCACCTGCCCTCCCTGCCCCTCAGCGTGGTCCCCACAGCCTCCCCCACCGGGCACCCTGACCCGCCTTTCCTCCCAGA